AAATTCCCTCTTATCATAATTGTTTTAGTTTCTGTTTTCCTAGTTGGATCATGATTGGTACAGGTGGACCGATGTGCATTTTCTATTTAGTACATTAGTATTGATTTCACATATCTGTAAAGAATTATACTCCTTTTTGGATTCCCATACCGGCCAGTCACAAAAAAAAAATTATCCTCCTTTAACCACCAGAAATCTTTGAAATCAGGGCTCTTATGGGCAATTACAGAAGGGGCACTGAATCAGGTGTCAGCAAAGCCAGGTCCTGGTCCCAGTTCTGTCACTGGGTTCCGTACTCTATCTCAGCCTCAGTTTACCCATCCATATACAGGGCATGGTAGTACCTGCCCTCTCCTGGGATATAATGGATATAAAAAAATTGTTCCAAATCATACATATACCTTATAAAAATAAGGTAATGGTGTAATTTATGAATTCTCTTAGCTAGACACCAATTGGATGTTAGATACTGACCTAGAATTTGTGAGAGAGAGCCACGGGCCAGCCCTATGCTCTGCTTTATGATGCTCATGCCGAGATGCTGTCCTTTGCCCACTGGTTCCCTATCAAGTTCTGCCAGTAGGAGGCATGACAAGCCTTGTTCTAGGAAGGAGAAAAAACTGCAACCAGTTGCCATTGCCAGGGTGATACAAACAGGGACAGCAAGCAAACAGGAAAGAGTAGGAGGCTTCTCTTTCCTTCAGCCTACAGGTTCTCTGTAGTGGGTCCTTCCTCCAAGCTCTGGAGGTACTAGCACTAACTAAGTGGTGCTGCCTTCTTGAGGTCTGAGTCACAGCTCCTTCAGGCCTCTCCTTCAAGCCTCTGGATTCTAATAATCTCAGCCTCTTCCCTTTCTTCTCTAGCTCCAGGCATGGGAGCTGCTCCCCGCAGTTATCATCTCTGTGTTACACAGTATTCCTGTTTTACCTCTTTAATCCTCTATCCTCTGACACCTATGTTACTAATATTCCTTATATTAAATTCCCTCTTATCATAATTGTTTTAGTTTCTGTTTTCCTAGTTGGATCATGATTGGTACAGGTGGACCGATGTGCATTTTCTATTTAGTACATTAGTATTGATTTCACATATATCTGTAAAGAATTATACTCCTTTTTGGATTCCCATACCGGCCAGTCACAAAAAAAAAATTATCCTCCTTTAACCACCAGAAATCTTTGAAATCAGGGCTCTTATGGGCAATTACAGAAGGGGCACTGAATCAGGTGTCAGCAAAGCCAGGTCCTGGTCCCAGTTCTGTCACTGGGTTCCGTACTCTATCTCAGCCTCAGTTTACCCATCCATATACAGGGCATGGTAGTACCTGCCCTCTCCTGGGATATAATGGATATAAAAAAATTGTTCCAAATCATACATATACCTTATAAAAATAAGGTAATGGTGTAATTTATGAATTCTCTTAGCTAGACACCAATTGGATGTTAGATACTGACCTAGAATTTGTGTTAAAGTATTAGCTCTTTGAATCCCTGCTTTCACAGCTGTTGCACATGCGTTAAGCTTACTTTGAACTACATGTAATTAAATAACCAATTTCATCAGTGATCCAAGTGATAACACAGAGACGTAGCCCGCCTCTACCAGCCCTGTGGGGGGAGAGTCTAGGTGGTGACAGGTCATTTGTGAGAGTCTCACCATTTGTGTCATCACATCCCGCAGCTATCCCCCTGCCCTGCTCTCCTTCCCACTCACTGACACTGCATGGGCCTCACTTGCGCTCAGAGCACATGCACTCGCTTTGCCTGGATCACTTCCCCCAGACATTCCCATGCCTTGTCACCTCACCTCATTCAAGTCTCCAGCAAGTCAGGTCATCCTGAATGTTTTCTGTTAAACTCTACTCTCATCATTCTCTAATTTTATCCAGCTTCATTTTTCTTTGTGGCGCTTACTGATGTTATTACTGATATTGTTACATATTTATTGATTGACTTTCTGTCTTCCCAGCTGGGAATGTAAACTCCACTAGGGTGAGGATTTTGTTTTATTTACCATTATATTCCCAGCACCTGAAATGGTACCTGGCACATAGTAAGACCTTCTCCTTTTTGGATTCCCATACCGGCCAGTCACAAAAAAAAAATTATCCTCCTTTAACCACCAGAAATCTTTGAAATCAGGGCTCTTATGGGCAATTACAGAAGGGGCACTGAATCAGGTGTCAGCAAAGCCAGGTCCTGGTCCCAGTTCTGTCACTGGGTTCCGTACTCTATCTCAGCCTCAGTTTACCCATCCATATACAGGGCATGGTAGTACCTGCCCTCTCCTGGGATATAATGGATATAAAAAAATTGTTCCAAATCATACATATACCTTATAAAAATAAGGTAATGGTGTAATTTATGAATTCTCTTAGCTAGACACCAATTGGATGTTAGATACTGACCTAGAATTTGTGTTAAAGTATTAGCTCTTTGAATCCCTGCTTTCACAGCTGTTGCACATGCGTTAAGCTTACTTTGAACTACATGTAATTAAATAACCAATTTCATCAGTGATCCAAGTGATAACACAGAGACGTAGCCCGCCTCTACCAGCCCTGTGGGGGGAGAGTCTAGGTGGTGACAGGTCATTTGTGAGAGTCTCACCATTTGTGTCATCACATCCCGCAGCTATCCCCCTGCCCTGCTCTCCTTCCCACTCACTGACACTGCATGGGCCTCACTTGCACTCAGAGCACATGCACTTGCTTTGCCTGGATCACTTCCCCCAGACATTCCCATGCCTTGTCACCTCACCTCATTCAAGTCTCCAGCAAGTCAGGTCATCCTGAATGTTTTCTGTTAAACTCTACTCTCATCATTCTCTAATTTTATCCAGCTTCATTTTTCTTTGTGGCGCTTACTGATGTTATTACTGATATTGTTACATATTTATTGATTGACTTTCTGTCTTCCCAGCTGGGAATGTAAACTCCACTAGGGTGAGGATTTTGTTTTATTTACCATTATATTCCCAGCACCTGAAATGGTACCTGGCACATAGTAAGACCTTAAAAAGTACTTGACAAATTAATGAGCAAATTTAGCAAGTAGACACTATGGTGCTGTTCCAGATCTCTGTCCACTGTGAACTTGGAGTGAAGGTCTGCACACAATCAATTATACAGACTGACACTCTGGAGGATGCTGCCTTTTTGCAAAAAGATTTATCCTACCCAACATCTTTTTTTTTTTTTTTTTTAATGTCTGGACATTTTAGTCCTGGAAAGAGGACCAGATTTGGAGTAAAAGACCTGATCTCAAAGCCTGTCTTTACCATTACTAGCTGAACTTCTGGTAAATCCCCTAATCTCCCTGATCCTTATTTTTCTTCTCTATCCATTGGGAATAATACTGGCTCTGCCTACCTCAGGCTCTATGTTTATTGTAAAGATCAAATGAAATGAGTTTCCCTTTCTCCCACCTTGTTGGAGTCTGGATTCTTCTGGCAATTCTCTGCTGGCCACTATTCTCTCTTGCAAGTTGAGAAGTTTGATCTTTGCTTCCTGTCCAACCCTAAAGATCCAGAAGGCCTGGATCCATTACAGAGATTTAACGCAACATTGTCTTCCAAGTCTTCCCAGATGCCAACTGAAGAAAATTCACAGGAAGACAAGGGAGCCTCTTTTCCATCCTACTCATGACTCAGTAACTTGATCATCAGCACTGGTAGCAGATATCCCTCTGCTACACCTGTGAAGCTGATGGAACAGGACAGAGAGAATAGTATCAAACAGAACAAGGAGGGCAGGTTTCTCTATAACTAGGCCTAGGATAAGGACGTTATTGTCTAGAAGGAAAGAAATGATTGAAAGTTTCTGAAAGCTGAGATATCTTCATCTCAAATGACCTTATGAGTCTGAAAAAGAACAAAAAACCTCTTCTGCACGTAATGGTGATGGTGGAAAGCAAAATGAATCAGTAGATGGAGGATTCAGATGGGAGTGCTGATATACCATAGTAGAATCCTTCTGGGAAAGGATCAGTTGTAGCAACAAGATCCAGAGTTGTGTCGAGGAATCATGTCAACAGTGGTCACATTTCGGTAACTGTCCTTTCTTGCTAGTCATTTTAGGATCACTGTGAGGCAAGATGGTGGATGGCAGGACTGGCAACCAATTTTTTTTAACTGCCTACATATGATCTATGAGCTGTAATTTGTCTTTTTCCCTCCTCAGGTCTCTGTTTTCCTTACTTTCATGTCCATAATTTATAAAATATCTGTGGTTTTAATGCCTTGCTGATTTCACTTAGCTTCCTGTTTCATTTTATTGATTGGTACTAAAAGATGCACAAGGCTTTAGAGTCCTGACATGAATGATGAGATGAGGTCCAACATCAAGAATGTGAAGCAAAGACACTTGTGGTTTAAGAACGTGTAAGTAGGGCAGGTCGGTTATCTCAGTTGGTTAGAGCGTGGGGTTGATAACACCAAGGTCAAGGGTTCAGATCCCCATACCGACCAGCTGCCAAAAAAAGTATGAATAGAGCTTGGGGGTTTTCTGTTGAGTTTGTTTGGGGAATGCCTAATGATTAGGATTAGGTTTTTATCTATTCTAAAAAGCTGATTTCTAAAGAAATGGAAGACAATTGTGATGTGCTATTTTTTTCATACAAATACAGGCATTTTTAAAACAAAGAAAAAAAACCACCAGTAACAACCCTAAAGATCCAGTAACAAAACAAACAGATCCAATGAGACAGCAGAAAGAGGCAAATGCTATCCAAGTGTTTATAGTTGTTATTGACACTTCAAGTTCCTATTCATTTTGGCCTGTGAACATTTGAGAGGCACAAATATGAAGTTCAAGGGTACGTTGTGTCTCTTTCCCCAGTGTTGATCCGCTTAACACCTGCTTGTTTTTCTCTTTCTTTTGGTGAGGGAGATAATGTCTGTGTACAACAGGATAGTGGGTCATTGTGTATGTACTGAAGTGATGCGGATTCTTCCCAGACTTACTAAAGACCAGGTCCGCTGGCCCTCTTTGGGTTTCCTAGACTAGAGAAGAGGACAGGAACCAGGATGGGAAAATGGACATGTTACATTTTAAACTGGAGCTTCCCCTGCAGTCCACGGAGCATGTTCTTGGTGTGCAGCTCATCTTGACTTTCTCCTACCAATTGCACGTGAGTCAGTTCTTGGGGAGGCCCGTCCTTTCCCATTTGTCTTTTATTTTATTCTATTCTATTTGATTTTATTTGATTTTTTTTGGGGGGGGGGGCTGGCCAGTATAGGACCATTTGTCTTTTTTGTTTTTAAATAAAGATGACTGGTTAAGGGGATCTTAACCCTTGACTTGGTGTTGTCAGCACCACGCTCTCCCAAGCGAGCTAACCGGCCATCCCTATATTGGGATCCAAACCCATGGCCTTGGTGTTCCAAGTGAGCCATGGGCCAGCCCTCCATTTGTCTTTTAATAAAACAGAGCCCTCCTTCTGATTTTTAGGAAGACCCACACTGTAGAAGGCTCTTTTCTGGGGTATAGTTTGGGATTTAACTTAGGCAAATCAAATGTTTCTCACTGGAGTTATAATAAATGAGCTATTAATAGCTCAGAGAGTTCTGGGCAGAGTGTTTCCTCATGGCTAAACCAGGTATGTGAGGGCCCGTTAAGCTTCAGCCACAGACAGACGACTCTTAGAACCCAGCCAGAGCCTTTCAAATCTGCCAGCAGTTGGTATTGTCTCTCCTCATGATTTCAGAGAATGTCAACATTCATGATGCAGAGTATGGCGTTCCTCCAGTCCTCCTTTGCTGTTCCTGGGTCCCAGTTATATGTGAATGGAGACCTGAGGCTGCAGCAGAAGCAGCCGCTCAGCTGTGGTGGCCTAGATGTCCGATACAACGTAAGGGTGCTTCTCGTCATCCAGCTCCTTTGTTTCTGTATATTACTGTTTATCAATTTTTTGAAGAGGGAGAAATCAAAGTTGGAAGTAGCATTTCTGTGGGTGGCACACACGAGAACTTCTGAAGAATTCTTGCTATGGATTCTTTCAAAATATGGGGAAGGTGCACTTTTATTTACACCAAGAAAGAAAGAAAACTGTCTTTGCCTTTATCAAAGAACGAAATTGTTTACTGTGTGGGGTAAACACACACACACACTTGCACATGTGCACACACCCCCTGTGTATTCCAAGTGATCTTTTCCAGTTTATGTAAAACATTTCCAAAAGAATACAAGCCCCCATTTATTGAACAGATAATGTGTGCCAGCCCTGAGTTGAGAAGTTTACATGCATCATCTCTTTTAATCATCACAGCAACCTCATGAGATGCCTACATTTGTCATTTCCCAGCTCCAGCCACTTGTCCTATCCCTGTTGCCCTTGCTTCATTCCAGCCACACTGGCCCTTTGTTGTTCTTCAAACCCACAAAGCAGCTCCCCCCTCCACGCTTTTGCACTTGCCATTCCCTCTATCAGGTGTCCACGTAGCTTATTCAATCACTCCATTCAGGTCCCTGTTCAAATGTCCCTGAGCACAGGCCTTCCCTTACCCTTCTCTCTCAAATAGCATCCTGCCCCCCTCCAGCATCCCTCACCCAGATTTACTTTCCCTACTGCCACCTGACATGGTAATGATATGTTTTTGGTTTATTTGTTGTCTACTTCAGTGTTAAAAGCACTGATATCTTGTATACTATCACTCCAGTGGCTAAAACAACACTGGGCACATTATAAGCTCTCTTCTTTTTTTTTTGTTTTTCAGTGGCTGGCCAGTAAGGGGATCTGAACCCTTGACCTTGGTGTTATCAGCACCATGCTCTAACCAAGTGAGCTAACTGGCCAACCCATAAGCTCTAATTTTTGATATTCAGCATTGATATTTGTTGAAAGAAGGAGCTCTCATTTTGCACATGAGGAAACTGGGATTTACTGATTAATTTTCCCGAAGTCCCACAGCTTAAAAGTAACACAGCCAGGAACTGTCTGAGTCCAGAACTCATGGATCCAGTCACTAATCCCTGACCTTTATCACAAGGAGGACTGTATAAATTGGGTTGAGCTGTTAAAAGTGAAAGAGGAATGTTATCAGTTATTACAGCCGGAAACCAGTACTGTTCCAAATAAACTGGGGTTTGTGGTTACCCTGGCTATAACCCACATAAGGGACTATAAGATATAAAGTTATAAAGATAAGTTTGTTTGAACGTCTATGTGTCAGCTTAACAGGAAAATGGTATTAGATGGCAAAAAATCATTTCCTTCTTTAAAGGATTGTATGCTTAGTATTTGCATTTAACTATTTCCATATCTATATTTAAAAGAGATAAATTAGAGAGCATCTAGAGAAGAGCAAGAAAAAGACAAAGGAGTTGGAAATAAGGTCTATTAAAAAAATTAAAGGAATTATTTCTCCCATTTAAATAGAGAGGGATATTTTATAAATAGCTTTAAAACCTGTAAAAGGTGGATATTGACCCATTGTTTCTAGCCCTCCAAAAAGAAAGAGAAAATGGGCTTAAATTGTTGCAAGAGAGTTTATTCATCCTTGAAGAAAAGATTATTGACATCGGAGTAGGCCACCAAGAACAAGAGGGTGGTCTCTGGGATCCTCCTGGGTAGGCAGGAAGGTAGGAGGAAGAGAGGAGAAGCCTTTTGAGTGCTCACACCATGTCCTTCTGCTGTGTCCCAGGTGTCTGTGATCAATGGGACCAGCCCTTTTGCCTACGACTACGACCTCACCCACATCGTTGCTGCCTACCAAGAAAGGAATGGTGAGTCATGGGTAGAGATCATTCAGCCACTGCTCAAGGGCTTTCCAGGTTAGTGGGGCAACAGACGAACAGAACTGGAACCCTTGTCATGATAAAAGTATCAAAACCAGTGAACGCTCAGTGATGGGAGGCAAACGGACTACTTGGGGTTTGTCCTTTTTGTCCTGATCTTCAGACCCTTGACCATCCCCTACCCCTCAGCTATCCACCACTCCTATGTCCCAGCAGGTTAGTGATCAATTGCCATATTTATCACACCACTGGCTTGATGGTTTTCCTTTTTTTTTTTTTTTTTTTTTTTTTTTTTTTTT